TAAAGTGCCATTTGAACTGTGTGAAGCTGTGTTTTCATCTTCAAATTTAATAAAAAATTTACTAATATTTCACATTAATGTTGCCTGTTTCAATTTTCTTTGTGACTTTGGCCTTTTCCTGCTGCTATCTATTCCCCTAAATATCCTGTTAAGTCTTTGCCACTGAGTTGGTTAAAAAAGGAAAAAAAAAAATCCATTTAAAGCTCTCAGCATGATCCAAATCAGTCTTTCCACCTTCTCTGTCTTTTCACACTTTACTTCCTTGTCTTCTAAAGCTTTAATCTTAATTTCCTCTCTGCGGTTACCATGTTACAAGATTTTATTTTATTTTTTCAGTCACTTCACATCTAATCAAGTGTTCACTCACTGAAATCAAGTGTTTTACAACAGGAAAGCATTTGGCCAAATTACTGAAGAGATTACTACCAGTTATTCACAATTACTTTTAGTTTATGGCAAGTCACCATCACTCACATGAAGACCTGGCTTTGTATAAACCTTGTATTGAAGTTACAGAATAAAATAACATTATATTATGCTCTTAAATAACCAATAGGTGGACTTTTCATAATTAACTTTCTTCTGACTGCTGTTCAGAGTATGAAAATGCATTAAGCACTGACAAGATACATGAGGAGCTATCTAGGAAGCCTAAGTATAGTTTATAGGCTTGTTAAAAGCTAAGGATCCTTAGTCAGTCAAGCCAGTGGTTTATGGGATGCTGATGGTGAATCAAAAAATCATAATGAATATATCAAATGAAATGTTATGGTTTTGTATATGTTAGCAGTTGGGAATGTAACTATCCAATGGTTTTATTGTGATATAAATCACATTTTTAAGCCAGATGATCTGGAACTGAGAGAAATCCTTGTCTTTTAAAGTGGAACACCTTGAAAGCTTTTGATTTCCTCAATTTAAAGTCACCAAAGGCATTCTGTTCAAGTTAATAATCTTTAATTTTTAAATTATAATTCAATATATCATAAATGCAATGGGCTACTGCAGTACAGTTATGGATTTAGACATCCTATTTATAATAAAAATTATTTAGAAATACATTTTCCTGTTTAGTTTTGTAATAGAATTTCCAACTAGCATGCAGGGTTGTTCAGTTACACATGTCACTACTGATGATACAAAACACATTATTTTGTATTTAACAGTCTTTCTTGCAAGTATTTATTTCAAATCTAAAAACATCAGTTGTGGTTAAGACCCAGTGTCTCACTTATGGACTCTGCAAATTCGGAAGAAAGTAATTATTTTGCCCCCTAAAAGTTTGCAAGCTTACTCTATGTTCCCTGGTTATATCTTACTATCAGAATGGAAAATTAGAGTAGTAATGTTCATGGTTTAGGGTGGTACAATAAGTGATTGGTTTCAGAAGTTCATACAAAACAGCTCTCATCTAATTAGCTGATCTAGTCTTTCTTTAAAACCGGTGAAAATCTTATATGAACAAATTTTGTCAGAAGTTTTCCCGCATTTCTGTACTGCAGGAGTAGGTTTTTTAAAATTGTTTTGTTATGTGTTCCTGCACTTCTCAGTGTGGTACCTTTGGTCAGAATTGAAAATTAAACACAGACAATAAAATCCTGTCACTTATATGATCTGAAATGGCAGGTACATTCCTCCTTCCATGTTTTATATCTTGTCATATTTTTCCCTAAACAGATAATTTATAGAATTCTTTTATACTGGAATTGACACTTACTAAACAGTAATGATCCAGTTATCTGAATTCATAAAGATACAGACAAATCCGGCTAATATGCAGAAATTGAGGGTAAGCAAGATGCACTTCTCAGTACTTTCAAGAATTAATTCTTAAAAGTGCCTGGAGTTTGCTGTTTTCTGACCATTTTATCTGGGCTTTCTTGGGTTTTGGGAGTCATCAGGAAGGCAGTTGTAACTCCAACCACAGTTATTCTGAAAGAAAATAGCCAGGCAATTTGTGTGGACTGTCCAAGTAGCACATACTTATCACTGACCTTGCTGGCATAAATGGTACCAATGGCCCAGCTAGAATGGCACAAGATAGCGGAAGAGCTGGATCATGATCCAAGTGCAGTGGATTTGCATAGTGTAGCTTCTTTCATTGGTTGTAGCACATCTTGTGTTCTTTGCTTCATTCAAATTGGACATTTTCCTAACAATTTTAGTTTTGAATGTTTTATTTCAAAACAGAGTTTATTTTTTCTTATTATTCATATTATTTTAAGATAGACTAGAATTATAATTAAGATTGTATTAACAAAATATTAATAAAGAAATAGTAGGAACCAGGCCCCATCAGGTAGTTACATAGGAACGCAAGAAAGCCAAAGGAGGAATAAAATGAGAAAGCTTAGCAGAACTTGCCTAGAGCTCATGGCGAGCATAGGATTTCAAATACTCCATCCATTTTCCTTTCTCTTGGAGTACGCTGTCTCTAACTTAACCTTCTTTATCGGTGAAATAAACTTCTTTGCTTTGCCTGTTCCATAGTGCCTTCTAAGGAAGTTTTACTGCAGCAGAATGCTTTTCTTTGCAATGCTAACTGATCCTCCACCTTGATGAGGCAGTCTAACCAAAATTCATAAGAAACCAATGTTCCTATTGTAAATTACATTTTGAAAAATATAGTGATAAAACAATTATTTAAAACAAAGAAGAGGAATTATTCTCTAAGCAGAATTGTTCAAACAAAGATATTGTGGACAATGGGGACATTACAAAAAATTTTACTTAGCCTCAAAGGAAGTAAAATAAACAAGCTCTAGTTCAAGGTGCCAAATTACTTTTTCATTGTTAAATTATTTATTGCCTGAAATGTTCCAAACAATAGTATCAAGAAATAAAACTTTACCTAACATAGCATTTCTTTCTCAGTGCTTCAATATGTATTTCACTAGGAGTGAACATAACCCTTTGAAGTGCACAGAACTAAGAGACATTGTGTCTCTTTCAGCAGCCAAGTTCTAGTGAATTCTGACCCCTGAACTGTACATTAGCAAACACTTCAGCCAACAAGCTCCTGTGACAATGCTGAACAAAATGTCAATCACTGTAAAATTAACAGTTGAGCTGAGAGTCTCAAATCTTTGTAGCTGTGTCACAGCAATGTTTAGGAAACAACAATGTTGAGAATAAATATTCAATAAGTGACAGAAACTGTCTGCTTTGTGCACACTTGCGTGGTCCTGTGTTATCTGGGCCACAGCTTGCATGAAAAAAAAAAAAAAAAGCATAGCTTTATTTAAAAAGTGAAACAAATTAACTGTTAAATAGGGAAACTCATGGCAAACACTCCAGTTCCTTTCTTTAAGAAGGCATTTTTCCATTTTTAATCATAATTTTCATGCCTGCTTCATAATACTCAAAAACACTCGAAGGTGCATCAAACATTATTTTAGCATATCTTTCACACACACACACACACACACACACACCACCCCTTCCCTTAAATTTCTTCGGTTGGGAGAAATATTTTTTGAAAAATAAACCTATCCTGCTAATCTTGGAAAAGCCTTCTGTTAAAAAGGCTATTTTTGGCAGATAAGGTTGGGGCTAAGCAAATAAAATAATAAAATACTACAACTTGTTAAATATCAAGTCTTATTCAGTCCTCAGAGTTACACAAATATTTATCTGCTGGATATAAAGGGCAGTGCACATTGGATAAGTTGTGACGTGTTACAAACTATGAATGATTTCAGACCCAATTTTCAAACATAAATGTACACTTCTGCTCAGTAGCATCATCTGTAACTTATACTAAACTTCAGAGATGTTTTAACTTCAGAGAAGCTCCTTAACAGCCAAAATAACCAAAGAGCCACTGTTGCTAATCTTGTTGGTAACCTGTGGTATAGTGATAACAGGTTGCAGCTATGATTTTGGATTAATTATGTTGTGGAGGGGTGGAATTATTTAATCATCGTGTCACAGAGTTGCCAGTGGACTGGCCAATGTGAGTGAGCAGTAGGAGGGGAGGTGCAAGAGAGATTTATATCTATCTGTAAGCTCACTGACTTTCTGGATAATACAGGCATAAGATCTGTAATTTGCAAAAGTATCAAATGTCTCTAGGGGAGGAGTATCACAGGACTAATGACCTGTTTTGCTATTTTTCTGTTCCTGTTAGTGATAACACGCAAAGGAACATGGAATTTGGACACTACCATTATAAAGGGAGAAGGCTACTGCTACTTCTTAAGAACAGAAGCAGCACGGCACATTTAGCATTTGAAGAGTGAAGTCATCATTAAGAGGGCAGAGGTGCATGCAGATTTTAAAGGGTGACCAAATATATGACTTTTGAAAGTCTTTCAGAAAGTCAGAAGGTGAAGATCTGAGCGAGGGGTGCTGCACTTACAGAGCACCTTGTCAATTCTGTGGAGACATTAATTTTATATTAGCTCTCACAGTGACCTTCTTGACTTACCATGATTTATTCTCTTATAAAGCCTGGTTTAAATATTGCTTTGTGACCTATTATTTTAGCTATTTGCATAACATATATCCAGGTTGCAAACCTTTGAAGTCTTGGACCATGAACCTCCTACTGATGCTAATAGGGGTTTGAAGTCCAGGATTAAATTCCAGATCGTTATAAAGGGACAACATGGATAAAAGCACTTTGATGCATCACATCTAGTAATGAGACATCTGTCTTGTCATGTAAGATTACAGTTTACCAGGCAAACAAATAAGCTATTTGCCAGAGCTTCATGTATGTTGCATAAGAATTGAGTAAAGGATGCAGAGACACCATCCCTGTCTGAGTGTGAGGATCCTCTTTTGTTTCTTCCTTTATTTAATTGATTTCTCATTTTTTTTAAATTGATTTCTCAATGACCTACCTTCCTTCCTTCCTTCCTTCCTTCCTTCCTTCCTTCCTTCCTTCCTTACTTCCTTCCTTCCTTCCTTCCTT